AGCGGCCGCTGCACTCTAGTCTGGGCGACAGAGTGAGACTCCAACTCAAAAAAAAAAGAAAGAAACACCTGACATGAACAGGCTTTTATAAACTAAAAACCAAAGCAAAGGAGATGAATTTCACATGAACCACCCACCCTCATCACAGCACAGAGGCAGCACTGGATTTCCCTTCTACACCTACAGTGGCCCTCTGTGTGGAGGGCCCATCCGTTCTCCTCTCTGTCCTCTGGAGCCCCTAGTCTTGGACCCTGCTCACAGAGCCTTCTCCACAAAGCCTTCCACCTCTGGGGCTGTCTTCGTCCCTAAAGTCCTCTCCAGCCTCAGAGCCTCATGCCCTGGCTCTTGAGAACCTCCAGACTCTGCTGGCCACTGGCCATGGGACTCTCCCAGCCTGAGGCCCGTCTCCCTCCTCTGGTTACCAGAGTAATCGTCGGCTGGCTTGTCCTCATTCAGCATCAGGGTTTTTTCAATGTGGGAGCGGTCCCTCATGGGGGCTTCTTCACTCACATCCTCTGTCTCTTCTGGGGAGAGAAGCAGACAACAGGGTTAGGACAAAGCTAGCCCTGGCGATGGCGGATGAGGGCTGGGCCTCGAGTGATGCTGGACAGAGTCTTGCCAAGTTGCACTGGACTGAGTTCTGCCCTTGGAATGGAATTTGAAGATCCAAACTCCACTTCTATGAAGCTCCACTATCTGTTTTATGTATTCAGGAAAGATGCACTGAGCATTTACTACATGCCAAGCACTGAGTATCATGCTAGGAATAGCCGGGTGCCCAAAACAGGCACAGCTCCTGCCCACTGAAGGCGGTTTTCCTTAGTCCTTTGGGGAGAGAAATGATAAACAGTCTTTAAACTAATGCAGATGGCGTGCTGGTAGAGGGAATCAGAAAAAAATCTCCCCAGGTTCGTTGCTGAGGAGTTAGTTAGGTGAAGGAGGGAAAGAACTTTTCTGCAAAAGATTCAGACAGTTACTGCTTGGCATGAAGCAGGAAGAAGGGGTGTCTGTCTGGCTGCAGGAGGAGGGATGAGTGCTGCCAAGTTGAAGGGGTCCCCAGGGCTGACCAGGCAGGGCCTTAACAGGATTGCTTCTCATCCTAAGAGCAACAGAAACAGGGAAGGCCTCCAAGCAGACAACTGATGCAACCCAGTGAGCATTTCTTTTTTTATTTTTTTTTATTTTTTTGAGTATGAGTCCCATTCTGTTGCCCAGGCTGGAGTGCAGTGCCACACTCACAGTCATCCCAGCATTGACCTTCAGGTCTCTGGCGATCCTTCTATCTCAGCCTTCCAAGTAGCCGGAACTACAGGCGCACGCTACCACACCTAGCTAATTTTTGGATTTATTGTAGAGACAAGGTAGGTCTCATCATGTTACCCAGGCTGGTCTCAGACCCGTGGGCTCAGGCAATCCTCTCGCCTCGGCCTCCCAAAGTGCTGGGATTACAGACTTCGCCACCAAGCCTGGTCCCCGGTGAGCATTTCATCAGGATCATACTGGCTGTGTGGGAAGAAGGGCTGGGAGGGGCCACTGCAGGTGTTTGTGTCTGTGTGTGTGTGTGTGTGTGTGTGTGTGTACGCGCGTGCACACGCACAGGTCAACTGTTGCTTCTCACCACAACAGCAGGAGATGCCCATGCCTGCCACAGGTGCCTGGGAAGGAAGTTCTCATACCCCTGGGCCTCTGATATCACAACCATCTCTACCCAGGCTGAACGTACAGAGGATTTTAGGTAGCTTCACTGTAGGGGGAGGAAGCAAAGAAGAACCCATATACCTCACGCAGTATCTTAGGATGGTAATTCCTTATCCAGACCCGTCCCAGGCAGTCCCCACCCCAGGGGGACAGGGAAAAGGCAGGCGCTTACTCACTGCAGCACATATCCCTTCTTTATGGAGAGTGCAAGCACTCACAAACAGTACAGAAAGGAAAAGTCTGCAAGGAAAACTGTGGAGCAGCCATCTTGGAGAGTGAATATTTGCCCCAGTCCCTCTACCTGAAAGCCCACTTCTGGTCTAAGTCAGAAAACTTACAGAACGAGGCCATGAAAGGCCTGACCATCCCAGCATCAGATCCAGCTCTAATGTGTCTCTGCCCATCCTCCTCCCCTCCTGCTCCCCAGCACTTTGAGGGTAATTGAGAGACACGGGTGGTCACAGTCAGCCTGAATTCTTATCTCACAATCCTGACCCCTTGGTCCTGGTTCTCCAACACCTCCTACGGCCTAGTCTTCAAGGGGAGACCCAAGGTGCTAGTCCACCGAGGGGACCACCTGGGCAGTTGCCAACCCAGCCCTACCCACTGCACATCCCTCCACCTACTGGCCATGGGACCTTGACCTTGCCATCAGCTCCTGGTCCTTTGGGCTGAGGACTGACTTATCCTCAGTGTGGTCCTCTGTGTGGATGGCTCATCTCTCCTGCTGTCTGTCCTCTGGAGCCCCCAAACCTTGAACCCTGCTCACAGAGCCTTCTCCATGAAGTCTTCCACCCCCAGGGCTCTCTTCTTCCCTAAGCCGAAGTGCATCCAGGGACCCTAAGGGGAGATTCCAGAGGGCCTGACTCAGAAGTGCCCAGGACCCTCAGGCTCCTCTCACTGACCCCTCCAAACTGGAGGCAAGCAGACAATGCGCAGCCCAAAGGCACTTCCCTGGGCCAGGACCCTGGATGGGGCCTCCCACTCTACCCTGTCCCTGCCTGTGCCCCTACACATAAGACTTCCAGGAAGGGCACAGCTGCGTGAGATGCTGGGCTGCTTTTAAGGAGTTAATTCCTACCCTGGGGAGCAGCTGCAGGGATCCTCCTCCCCTGATGTCCCTCGTGCGGCTCCTCCGCCACTGTGTCCTGGGCCTTCCCGCCCTCGGACGCTGCATTCAACTCCTCTGAGCTGTGCTGGGTTCCCTCATCCCCATGACTTGTGGTTCCTGCTGCTTCCTGGGGCTCCCTGGCCTCCTCGGAGGTTCCCTCTGCTTCCTCTGAACTAGCCTCATCACCACTCTCTTCTTCGGATTCTTCTTTGGAGGGAAGCCCTTCTTCCTCACTTCCGCCTTTGTCACCATCCTCTTCTTCAGAAGAGGCCTCGTCTGCATCCTCAGGTATCCCTGACACCTGGCCCTCCAGGGGATGGCTCTCCTCAGTGCCTCCTGCATCCAAGCTCTGGGCGCCCCCGGTCTCTGAGCCGGCCTCCGAGTCTGGCCCGAGCTCCACTTGGTCCTCAGCCCCCTCCTTGGTTTCTGTGTTCATGTCCACCTCCGACTCTTCTCCCACAGAGGCGACGTCAGGGGCTCCCTCTGGTGCTGCTGGCTCCTGAGCAGGCTCTGGACTACCCTGGAGCTCTGTGTTCAGGGAATAGACCTCCTGGCCTCCTGAGCTGAGAGAGGCCCCCTCTGCCTCAGGCTCTGCTGTCCCTGCTTCTCCCTGCACAGGGCTGTCCCCTCGGCCCTCCTTGGCTTTCTTGAGGAGCTCGCCACTCCCAGCTTGTCTTTCTGCGTCCCCACTGGCAGCTGCCTCTGTGGGGAGCCCAAGCCCTGTGTCCTCCCCTCCTGGCTCCTCTCCTGAACTGAGCTCTGGCCGCTCCTCTTCCATGAGCCTGTCATTCCCTCCTAGAGGAAGGGTGTTTGCTGCTGGCCGGCCCTCCTCTTCCTCCCCAGGCCCCACAGCATCCCCAGGTGGAGTTGCCTCTGCGGCTGAGGCATTGGAGAGGCTGGCTTCGGGATCAGAGCCCGGGCTGGCGGCAGCTGGGGGGTTCCCGGCAGCAGTCTTCTCTGGGCTCTCAGCCCCACTGCCATCTGGGTAGTGAAGGAGCAGATTCTTGTCTCGAGGGGCCGCATCTGCATAAAGCGCCCTTTCTTTCTCCTCTAGACTTGCGTCTCCAGCAGAGAAATGATTCTCCAACAAATTGCCAACATCTTCTGTGCCACCCGAAGCAGAGACTTGCAGCTCTAAATGATTAGAACATGATTGGTCAGTTTCACAGGGTTGGCACTGGCTCTGCTTCTCAAAAGAGTCTACGTCAATCTAGCTCCCATCTTCCAGGAGCATGGTGCCGGCCTGGTGTGCAGTGTTACTCCCGCCTCCCTGGGCCTTCGTGACTATCTTGTGTGCAGCAAGCAGGGCAGGTGTTATTCTGCCCCCAAGATGTGGACACTGTGGATTGGGGAGCTAGAGGACTGACCTGCTGTCCAGTGAGCAGCTGTACTAAGCCCAGAGCCCCACAATACTGAACCTGACCTTCAAGTCTCCCGGCTCCGTCCTGAGGGCTATATATGGATGGAAACTCGGGGGAGCCCTTCTAGTCCTTCCTCAACCTTGCTCTTGGGCACGTGCAGCCTGGCTCACCAGGAGATACTTCCAAGATGGGACAGATGCTTGTACATCCCACCCCTTGTCAGTTCCTAGAGTTATTAACCAGCATGTTTTTTATATTGCAATCAGCAAAGGAGTGAAAACAGGTGTTTGTGGGCCAGATCATCTTAGGTTACATGGCAAAGTACTTAGGGGATTACTTGTGTCTCTCAACCTTATTAAGTCACACATCTAACTCTGTCCCCTTAAGGGCAGGTATTTGCTGGCCTCCCTACCTTAGATTAGAGAGGACATGGCCTGAGGAGGAGATATCCAAAACGGGCAGGGCCTGGGCTTCCCAGTGGCCTTAGCCAACCCCCGAGGGGATCCCCTTCTAAGGGCCTGTGGCTTTACTAGGAGAGCAGAGGGCACGGGAAGAGCAAGACAAGGGAGAGCAGAGTAGGGGCCTCATCTGTGCCAGAGACCTCTGGCAAGGGTCAAATTTAATATGTTTGAAAACCGGAGTCAGAAGGGAACTTAGGCCTACCCCTCTGCCCCCTCCTACCTAGGCTGGGATCTGTTTAGGGCAGAGGCTGCAGTCTCGTGAGGAGGAAGGGACTGTAGGCACCCTGCCTTGGGGCAGCTGAAACAGGGCCCAGCCCCCCGGTCACCCTGTTCTCCCTCACTCCCAAGGTCTCTCTCCAAGGAAATAGCTCCCCACTGTCTGCTAGATATAGACACCCCCTTTCTCAGGCCATTGCTTGCCACTCCCATCTCTCTGTCCCACAAGGAAAAGCCACTTTTTGGGGTACTCCCTTGTTCCCTGAAAGCTGGGGCAGCCTCCAGGGATCAGGAGTATTTTCTCATTAGCCCCATAGACAGCAGACCTGCTGTCAAGTGCAGAAGGACGGGAGCTTGGTGCCTTTTGTTCGAGAGGGGCTCTGACTATTGATTTATAAAACTTTTCCCAAGTACTTTCACATATGTGACCACATTTGACCTCCTTTAGTTCTTATTTATTTATGTTTGTTTGTTTGTTTGTTGAGTCAGGATCTCACTCTGTTGTCCAGGCTGGATGGAATACAGTTGCCTGATCACAGCTCACCACAGTATCAACCTGCTGGGCTCAGGCAATCCTTCCACCTCAGCCTCCCGAGTAGTTGGGACTACAAGTGTAGGCAACCATGCCTGGCCAATTTTTTTATTTTTGTAGAGGCAATGTCTCACTATGTTGCCTA